ATAGTATAGTATAGTATAGTATAGTATAGTATAGTATAGTATAGTATAGTATAGTATAGTATATATTGCCTTTAAGACATCCAAGAAGTGAGCCAGTTTGAACGGGGGATGTTTTGTTAAGTTGTTCTGGTTTCTCAACATTACTAAAAATGTTGCAAATGAAGTGGGAAAAAAACAAGTGAGTTTCTTCTGGAGATGGTTGTAAATTCTGGAGTTAGAGACACCCCATTGATGACTGGAAAGAATGTATTTTCAGCCTGCTTGAAAAAGTGTTAATAATCTAAACAGTATGACTGTTGAGTATCTATTTGTCTGTGCCTGTAGGCTTTAGAAAATCATTTTGTTTTGAGCGAATAATTCAGAGCAGGACAGTCAGAAGTTAATAGCTGTTACAGAATGCTAAGCTGCAGCTTATTAAACATTGCATTGATATTTTTCCACGTACACAAATGATTTTTCACTGTTAAAATGGGTCTTGTTTCTCTTGTCACTGTTCACAATGAAGCGTTTTGTAAAGATGAAACTGGGTCCCACTTTCCTTCATCAACCTCACAGGTGTTGACAATACTGACGAGAAACACTCACCGTCTTCAGCTGCCATCATTACCAGCCAGCTGCCAAACACTGATTGACAGCAAAAATAGATAAATAGAGTACAACTGGAGGGAAACAAAAAAAAATCACATATTATTTTCCAGAACTGCCAAAATCTGCAGAATATTTTACCATGAATTTTCCACCCCTCTGAAACAAGAGACAACTGATTTCTTGTGGTAAAGTTCTGACATCAGCCAAATATGTATGCATAGATTCGTGTGCCATCGGGAATGCATTGTCTTCTCACTTGTCCCAGGTGATGGAAGGGAAGGAGAAAACAAATTATCAAGATCTTCGTCTTTTTCTTTTTACATTTCTATGTGTATTGTCGGTGTGCCAGTAACCATGGTGAGGCCTGCGGAGTCGAGTCTGGGGCTGCAGCTATAGTCATCTTCCTCTGACAGAGGCGGTGGGTTGTCGACTTGCTCGAGTTACTTTGGCAGAATGAACAAAGAGTGCGGGAGGCCCAAGGTAGCCTTTGCGTCTCGTGAAATTCCATTGTTGAGCAGTCTCATGCAGGCATTTGTTATTTCATGCACCCTTGAGTCTGTTCATTATTAAGTCCGGAAACCATTGCATTAAAAAAGAAAAATGTAGTGGTTGAATGATGATATAGATATAAAGATGTTGAGCAGAGGTTTCAATTAATTCTCTTTCTGACCAACAGAAATAAAATCAAAAGACATCTCACAGAAAATAAAAAAAACATTATCATTGATAATCATGGACTTGCATTGGTATATTTCTCAACAATTTGTTCATGTAATGTGACCCCTCACAACCAATGAGCAAATAGAACCATATCTAGTTTTTAACCCACAAGAAAATGGAGTGAGAAGTAAGTTTGCAAAGCAAGTTTGAAAGGCATGAACATCCCATGTATTCCTGAAACCGGGCAAAGAAATTATCCACACCAAAATGAACCCTTATCTTCCCCGGCCAGAGGTAATGTTTTCTCCAAGGATTGAAAGGGCAATTAACTGTTAAGTGTGACTAACAATTACCTTTGTGTTTAACAGTTTCTCTTGTGAAGGTAAAAGGTAAATGTACTGTATCTATTGTGCAGCTCCACACTCTGGATCTCATGCTTTTACATACAGTCAGTTGCCGGTCTGTCCTGTTTTTCCAAAACATGCACATTTGGTCGGTAAATCACGCTGAAGTTTTATTTCTGTCTCCACACAGTGGAGGTTTTCAGAGAGATGGATGTATTTTTCTGCTCCCACCTGCTTCACAGTGGTTGTTTGGGCAAGGTGCGAGGTGTTGTGGGAGTGTGAAACCTCAGCTGCTCTTTGCAGATACACAAACCTGGGCTTTCATACCCAGACCCATCAAAATGGCCCCGTCAGGCTGCTATCTCCTGGGACTCACTACTGCAGTACAGGAGGATTAAAGCTTTTTATGAAGCATTTTCGCAGCCAAAGGTGTGTGCAGAGGCAGCTTGTGAGCCATTTTCCATAACAAAGGTGAACTTAACTGCGATGGATTGTAAAAGCCAGGGTGGTGCAGGATGAAATTTCTGCATCCAATTTGGACAACTAATTGGACTATCCAGGGACTGAAGCTTTGGAGGGGTTTACCCTATTGTTCAAAATCCAGTTAATTATGTTCACAGAGTGTAGTGTAGTAAACTGGGCCAGATTGTACTCTTCATTTGACAGAGGGGCAAATCTTACAGTGAAATCTGCTACTGTTTATTTTGGCCCTATTTTCTTTTCTTTTTCAGGAGCTTGGAGTCTTCAGGAAATGCTCAATTTGGAACCTGTATTAAATCAACTATATTGGATGTTTTATGTCTCAAATTATCTGTTTGTTTCTCAGCAGAGATAGGCTGATTCAAAGTTACAGTTGGGACTGGTTCATATAAATGCTGTAACAGCATCATCAAATTTAGTTGACAGTCTGTGACAGTTAACAATTCCTATGGACCATGTGTGATAAATTGCGTGTAGAAGTGGGCCATTTGTTAGAGCCTTATCTTTGTTAGGGTGAATTATTCATTATCAGACAGTGCGGGAAAAGAGTTGAACCAAACAAAGATTATGGTTTCAGATATACTACCTCACACCGGAGTTCATTTGCATTTAGCCTACTCCAGGCTATGAGTTCTTGGTGTCCAATTGTACAGATGCACATATCTTTCCAAAGGGTGGGGGGGTTATTTGAGGGATTACAAAATTATCATAAAATCAATGTCAGCTGTTACCATGGTTTTGAGACAACCAGAGCATTTTAAAACCATGAAATTAAGAGTATTTTAAGTGATTTTACTGATTTGATTGCTGAAGCGATGTAGCCTGTAATACAAAAGTAAACCGGCAATAAACCATTAACAAAATTGATAAGAAAATATTTAAATGCATCGATAAAATGTAATTACTATTTTTGTGATTACTCGAGAGGTTCTGATGTGCAAAAATAGATGCTGTCCGTGGTGCTGACGGACGACTCACCTGTGTGGAGGCTCTGCCATCCAGTGGCTGTCAACGAAACATGCCTCCAGGAACTGAGTTACTTGTACCAACCCGAACCGCAATATGTGTTGCACCATCAATGCAGTTTACATACGTCGCTAAGATTACATTGCTGTTTTTCATTTTAGTAAGTATGTAGTTTCTGAATCTACTGAAAGATGCCACATACATGTTTTCATTCATACGGAGAAGGAGTCAAATGTTTATAATTGGCTGCAAGATAAAAATGACACGATGTTTAAGTGGTAGTATATTGCTATTTTTTGGCAGCTATTAGCTGCGGTAGCTCGACGAAAATGCTAGCATACGAGTGTCTTCTTTGGTAAAAGAAAAAAAGGCCTTTCTGCTATCAAAGTAGCGACGTTTCGTTTGTTGACAATGTATGTGTATTTGACTAAAAAAAATCACTGCAGTCAATTGGTCTCTTACCTTTTTTAAAGTACAGCTACGGTCAAAAGCTTTTGATATATTTTGAGATATTTTTTCTAAAATAAATCATGTTACCTCATGCAACCAGTTTTCCTTTAAATTTAAAAGGCTGTTAGATTAATTTCTATTTCTAATTCTCACCAAATGAAACTGCACACCATCATTTTATTGTTTCTGCTTCCCAACTGTTCATCCAGCCAATGGACTGACATCGATCAGCAGAGATGTTGCTGAAAGATCTCCCCAGAGAGGCCCTGATGCGGCCATTGTCCAGGAATGAAGTGCTTGGCATGTTGGTGAGGCTGACCATCTTTGGTGCAGCTACCTACTACAGCATCAAATGGGTGGTTGAAGCCATGGACCCCACTTCTAAACAGAAAAATCAAGCCAAGAAAAGGGTCAGTACTGAGGGATGAAGTTGAATGGTGCTTTTCACTGTGTGGAGTCTGTAATCCTATTGTGCATTCATTTGTGTTGCATGTTTGTACTCACCAGGCTGAACAACTGATGAGGAGGATAGGTGTTGAAGGGGTCAAGCTAACAGAGTATGAGATGAATATTGCATCTCACCTCGTTGATCCACAAACTATGAAGGTTTGTTTTTTCTTTTGGTCTGTGACACTGAGATTATCCACTGCCATGAAATGTATGGCTGGTTATTTTTAGATTTTCCCTGCTAAGAACTCTTACGTGTTTATTTAATCATGTATTTTCACTTTACCATTCTCAAGGTCTCCTGGAGAGATATAGCAGGTCTGGATGAGACCATAAACGAGCTGCAAGACACAGTCATCCTTCCCTTTCAGAAGAGACATCTTTTACCTGGATCAAAACTCTTCCAGCCACCCAAAGGTATCATAGTATGTAACATACTTACATGTAGAACTGCAATCTCACATAAATGAATATCTAATAGACCCTCTAAAGGCTTTAGCAAAAGATTGAGTCATCTGATTTTATTTAAGCGTCAGTACTTCAAGCTGCTTTTGTGCAGACTACACCAGTCCTGATCAATGAGTCACTGCTTATGTGAGAACTCTCCAAGTGATCACCACCTTCCAAACCATGAGATAAGGTCACACCTACATTTTCTGATATTACTGTTACACATTTGAGTGGATTGAAAATCGGCCTTTTAGCTGGACGATTAATAACTTGAGGAAGTTCTTCTAATTCCCATGAATTGGTCTTTTAGTCATTTTTCATTATTGTTTAAAGGCGTCCAGTCAATTATGCTTCCATCTACTGTAGAGCAATGTGCCAGAAAGACTGAGGAGATTTATCCACTTGGCAGAGCGACAGCGGAGCATCACTTAAGAGGCAGAGTTTGCTTTGCACAGGGAATTTTTACTGTTTGGTACAAAGCTTTCCACTAAACCTCGGGATTAATCAGCCTCCAAAATTAGAAGCCTTGGGGATCCAGCTTCTATCCTAGACTTGAGGCATTGTTTGTCTCACAACTTTTGAAGATAATTGCTGTGGGAGCAGATCGGTTGAGCTGTGCCAGATTCTCTGTCTTTATGTTGGCCGGAGAAGAAAGAAATGTCTGAGCACATTTGCCATAAATGGTTTATATGAGTGAGGGTCAGAGTCTGCAAAGAAGAATATTGTGAATGAACATTATAAAAGATGCTTGTTTTGTTTTTATGAGTTTTGGGTCGTTTTTGTCTTTACAGGCGTCTTGTTGTTCGGTCCACCCGGCTGTGGGAAGACCATGATTGCCAAGGCAACAGCCAAAGCCTCGGGATGCAAGTTTATCAACCTCCAGGCCTCCACGCTGACAGATATGTGGTACGGAGAATCCCAGAAGCTGACCGCTGCAGTCTTCTCCTTAGCTAACAAAATTCAGCCCTGCATCATCTTCATAGATGAGATTGGTGAGTTTCTGTCACTTCAGAAGTGGTTTCATGGAAGAGTTTTTTTTTTTCTTACTCTTTGTTAGATATGAATTCATCTGGATTAATTAATAGAAAATCAAAATAGCAAGTGAGCTTTTTATATAAAAACATGAAGTCCATCCGTAATATTGATATAGTCTAAATCCCAACAGCATTGTTTATTTTCTGGAATCAACTTCAGGTGAACATGAACTGGGTTGTGGGCAGCTTTAAAAAAGTGGTTGGAAATAACAGCTGGAGGAAGAATTTCCTAATAAAGTAAGCTAGTGTTAGGTGCTAATGTCAATATGATTAAGAGTCTTAGAAATTAAGGTGGACTGCGGTGTAATTGTCCACAGAAAACTGGACGTTCATGATTTTAAAGAATACGTTTCAGAAAACTGCCGCTGAAACTCAGATTCCTGACTGTTGACCAGTGGGCTAAATCAGCTGGGTACAGATTAAGTACTCGCTCTTTTTTCAATGATTTCTCTGCATGTCACTTTTCTGTCAGAGTCATTTCTGAGGAATCGCTCCAGCCTGGATCACGAGGCTACAGCCATGATGAAAGCCCAGTTCATGAGCCTGTGGGATGGACTGGACACCTCTGCCGCCACCCAGGTAGCACAGTCAGAAGTGATGCAAACTGCACAGAGCCTGCAGATTAAACACATCACTCGTTTGACTTCAGGTGATGGTGATGGGAGCTACCAACAGGCCACAGGATGTGGACCCAGCTATTCTGCGCCGGATGCCCGCCACGTTCCACATTGGCCTGCCAGTAAGATGTGTACACACACACACAATTCACATAAACAACAATAACACACACTGTATTTAAACTTGGATAAAATGCAGTAATGCATTTTGTTAAGGCAGATGAAATTGCAGTCACACAGGACTATGATGGCAAACTAGTGATTAGTGATTGGCTAAAATATCTTTTTATTTTGGAATCTTATGTCATAAAAGCAGCAACCACACTTTTCTCTGTTTTCTCTGCAGAACACAAGGGAAAGACAAGACATCCTGAAGCTGATTCTAATGGGAGAAAATGTAAGATGGAGTTTGGGATTTATTATAGGTCTGTCTCTTGAATCATTCTCAAGAGCCACACCTGGGCTTTCTCTGTCAAAGCGGCAGAAGCTGAATCCCGCCACTGCTGGGCCGTTAGCTTGATTGACGGCCACAAACACAGCGCCAGCTGAACTCTATGTGATTTTCTCACAGAGCTCATCCGTCTTTTCCACAGCTGAGTAATGCCATCAATCTGAGGGAGATCGCAGAGAGGACAGACGGCTACTCCGGTAGCGACCTGAGGGAGCTGTGCCGCGATGCCGCCATGTACCGCGTCCGGGACTACGTCCGCAGGGAGCAGATGAGGCAGATCGCACAGCAACTGCAGGAAGGCCACGAGGAGGAAACGTAGGACACATTTTCACACACGAGGCTTCTCAGCCTGCCACAGACGCTCAGATTAGTGGGTTTTCCAAAGCAGAGGGCAGTGTCTGTTGTGATGAGGTGAACCCCGGTAAATTACTTTTAAGTTAATTTTAAATTCCAACAAAGCAGCCCCTTTTTTTTTCTTTCTTTTTTTTTAACCATCTCTAGAAATCCTTATGCATCTCAAGCTGTGTTCAGACAAAAGGATACACGCAGCAGTTGGCTAAAATATTCATCTTCATTAGCATGTTTCCTCTTTTTATCGCTTCTACATATCTTTAGTTTGTTTTGGGGGGTCGGGGGAGGGGGGTAGTTTAGTCTGAAGAGACATGTTTTTTTCCTCATGGCAGAAAGTTCAGTTTTAGTCTCGTCTGACAGGAGGACCTTCCCTCACTGCCTGCGGGCTGTCCCAGACGCTTTGGGGCAAATTCAAACTGTGATTCTTGTTTTGTTTATTCTTTTTGTGTGTGTGCGTGTGTGTTTGGAATGATATTTTCTTCTCTTTTGCCGCTCTGCTGTAAAGCCTCAGTCTTCTGTGGAGTTTTCCAGCCGCTTCAGTGCTTTCTTTGATGTCTCGGTTGCCTCTCTGAATAATGTCCTCATCTGTAGCTTTCTGGCCCAGCCTCTCGAAGCAAGCCTGTTGAAGTGACGCATTCTTTGTGACGGTGGATTCATGAGGCTTCCTGGAGTTCTGAAATGGTTTCTTTTCTTTTTGCAACCCAACCCTAAATGTAATCTGTAACAACAGATGTTAGTGGCCTCAAAGCCAAAAGGGAAGGTGTTAGAATAGCTCAAAGCCTTTTCATGTCTGGTTAAAACGAAGTGAAAAGAAAAAGCAACACATGCATGGAAAAGTTAAAAATAATAAGAGCAGCAATAAAAACACATTTGATAAAAAGAAGTGCCAACTTTCAATTTAATTTAACGTGTGAAAACTTCAGTGAAGAGTGAATTTCGGTCCCGGATCTGTTAGACTCTGTCTTTAGTTCAGTTCGACATTGAATTAGAGGTCAGTGCAATGATAATTAGACGTGTGGGAGATATTTTTATCTTCATGGTGCTACAGGGGTCAATGCAAAAGGAAGACATAAGTGATGTGCACTGTTGTCCATTCAGTCTCATCATCACTGATGCTGACCACTTCAGTTTCTCAGTAGAATCGGAATGGCTTAGTCCCGTTTGTAAATGGTATCCAATAGCTTTGCTTACAGGAACCCATAGTCACAGATTTTTTTTTATCTACCCCATGCTCACATCTCACTTCTTGAGGGTAGACTAACATAAGACTGGGGTCAGGGTCCTAATGTGCATAAAAGCGATTTCCCAGCAACAAATGTGTGATCAAAATCAGATCTGTGATCAGAAGGATGCAGTTAACTTTTTTCTCTGGCAGTACAAAGGATGATTGCAAGCATTTCTAAAAGGAGCCGTTCTTTGTACCCCGGTCCTCGGCTGTTGCTAAGCAACTCTTGAAACCCACTGGAAGGGCAAGGCACTAGTAAAAGGGACAAAACCCAAATATTATTTCTTTTTCTTTTCGGAGCTCTGTGCAATAGAAAAGTGGGCCATTGTGGCACAAAGCAGCAGCATGTGGTGTCATTCAGTTATTCAGGGCCGGATGTACAACGCTCCTCTCACTCCTTACAGACTCCATGTAGTTGCCATGTATCAACGCTTTGACATCAGCACCGTGGGTTTGAAGAAATATGTTGTAGCTTACTGACTTACTAGACAGAACATGCATATCTCTATTATATATATATCCCTATTTCTATACAAATACGGTGTCACTAGGACTTGGCTCTGAGTTTGACCGCTGATCTCCTGTTTCCTGTACTTAAGGCCAGTGGATGAGGAGCGACTGCGGCCAGTCACCCAGCTGGACCTCCTCTTCGGCTTGGACAAGATGAAGGAATCCAAGCAGGCCACAGTCTGCATGTCGGCCAGCGTCTCCGAGGTTCCGCTGGACTGATCCTCCCTGGACAACGCCCCCTTCTCCTTTGTGTTCACAGCGTGGTCCAACTCACCCGGCAGAGACTCAGCCAAACGATGAGAGCTGACGGTAGAACCAGCAGAGACGCACCATTTAGAAACTCGCTAAGCTCCATCTGAGCACGCTCACTTTCAGCGCACCCCCCCCATTTACATGTGCACAGGTGCAGTGTGGGAGAAATCTGCCACGCTGACTGCGGGTCCGATCCACTGGGAAGCTGTCAGGGTTACACCCAAGTGCATGTTCAGAGGAGCCCAAAGCAGCTGCCGTGGATATTTCCTGTTTTGACTAACACTGCTACAGAGTTCATCCGCTACCCAAAGTGCTCTTTACCGAGCAAGAGCGAGTCCAATATAGTTTTAGGAATATTGGTATTAAAAAAAGATAAACATATCTCATTCAGATTATCTTTTTTAACACTTAACAAAACTCCTCTTGAAACCAGCTCCCGTTACTCATAGAAACTGTGAAGCTGTAAAAATCACGCTTTATTGCATAGCTGTGTTGGTTTTACGTATGAAAAGACCCACATCACAAGGTCACAGTAGTGGAGCCGTTTGATTTTTATTTCAGTGTCGACCGAGTGCAGTTATTTCTCAAGTGTAAATACTTCAAAATGTTGTTGAAAAGGAGTTTAAAAGGGAGCACACAAACCATGGTCATTGCAGCACCAGCCCGGGGCACCATTTTGCTCCTCTGTTAAGAAAAAAAAAAGCAAAATGTTGGTAGTTTAGACTTGTGACATCCTCATGTTGTAATCGTGCAACCGTTTTTTTCGATTCTTATTAGTTTTTAATGTCCTTTTTTTTCCATTATGAGTGACTCATTTTTTCTGTGCGTCAGTCAGAGGCTGACAGACGATATCACATCTTACTTCTGGGTGTCTTTTTAAAGGGATGCTTTTAAACAGCTGTCTCTCAGAAGTTTTGGTAACTTGCTTTTGTTTTTGCCTGAAGAAGAAGAAAAAAAATAAAGAAGCCTAATTGTTTGCCATGTGCTCTGGTGATGTGGCCGCTGGTCTGCGGTGGGCGTGACGCGGGCGTTTCTCCCACACAGGCGTCGGGTGTGTGTCGGTGCACCATGTGGTGGCACTGTGGCGTCGCTGTGCCATCAGTGAGGCAGTGTTACAAACCGCTCTGATTTAGAGCCTTTAATTGCATTATGAAGAAAAAAGTGAGAACGTGCATACTGTGTTGTTTCTCCTTTATTGGATTATCTAGTGATGCTTGGACAACTGTTGCTCTTCATTAGAGTTGCCCGGGTGACGGTTAAATGTCAGACTGTTGCCATGTAATCCCGTGCTGCTCGCAGGTTTAACCGCCTTCCTTGGAGAAAGGTAAAACCTGTGTAGATACACTGTCTTCGTTCAGGCTTTTCTTCGGTTATGGATGCTTTCTATCATCACACTTCAGTGTACCGTAGTTACTCTGTCAAAAATGTCCATGTACTCAATGTGCAATATGAAATAAGCACTACAAAGCATATTTATTAGATTAAAAATGAACACATTTGCACCTCTTTTCCTCATTCTTATTTATTTCAGTAGTAGTTTTCTGCCTCTGTTCCTTTTTTGTGTGTTTTGTAAATAATAAGAAACTACTGGAGATGTTTCGTGAGAAACAGCCAAACCTCTCAAGCGTATTGTGACGTGTCCCCCATTTCGTGCTGATTGTTCTGAGAGCTATCAATAAAATAATTGAAATCACTTCAGTAGAATCAGCCCCATTCATTTATTTGTGTTTGTTGTTGATTGTGTCTGAAAACTCTTCTAAGATATTAATGGAAGGAGAGTCTGAAAAAATCCAAGATTTAAAATGAAAGGCTGAGAATATAAATCAGTGTAATGAACTGTCAACTGCATAGTTATCACCTCGGTAATATTCATGCACTTCTGTTGTTTCATGACTAATTTCACATTACTGTCGGTGCATGTGGGTCGTGACACCCTGACCTCCAATGCAGATTCACCTTTGTTAGGATTTGTTTTGGATCTGTTAACGAGTTTTTTCGCTGGAAGTCTGAATCTCCATAAACTGCTTGTAAATTCCACATCTGCTGCTGTCAGTTTTTGCACCCATAAGAGATGCATTAATAAGCCACCGTTAGCTGTAATCAGCCTTTTCTATTCCACTCAGCTGCTGCTCAGCCTCAGCTGCTCCGTAACCAAAGCTTTTGCATCATGAATGGACCTAATTCTCAATACTTGCCGAGTGCCAAAAAATATTAAAATGCGGTTTCTTTAAGAACTAGATCTGAATACCAAAACATCGAGGCAATACAGAATCAAGTTACAATGCATATCAATCACAAGGAGTGGATGTACAGTGTTTTCGGATGCTGGCAGCTATTTTTAGGATAACGATGGCGGTTCATCTTGCTGTTAAAAGCTGCTCCTGGCCACTGTCCAAACTACACTTCTCTCTTCATCCCTGATTCACCGGCCAATCCGAACCATGACCAGATATGAATCATTCCATTTGACATGTCAGAATTACTGAAACAAATTTTCATGACGCTTTCTTCTTTGAAAAGGTTGGTTTCATATCTGTAAACCTAATGAGGTTATCGTCACTTTTTTGTTTTCACGCATGCAGGCACTACCCTCACTAGAACTCAACTAATCAAGGCTAAACCTTTAACCCAGAAAGATGCCGATCGACTTGTCGAGATGGAATTTTTAGTTCGAACTCGTGAAACCTTTTGTAAAAATCTGACTTTTTCAATTTCTGCGCAATCTCGTTAGGATGAAAGATGGGCCAAATTTAAAGCAAAGCACATGTTGTTTTCGCTACTCTTAACAAAGTACTTAGACTCCACGACTGAGGGGGGAAAAGCAAAATATCCAGAAAAGACAAATAAGACCAATGCAGCTGTTGCTTCCCAAGTGAAATAAAGTGTATAAACAATATATTTTACTAGTGAGCTGCCTGCCAGCCACCCTCTAAACACAGCTGTGTTTACTGATTAATGAGAAATATTCTTGTTTATGTTACCACAATATTGGATGGGAAAGATTGTGAATGGTTACTGAAAATGTTAAAGAACTTGTCCTACCATTTGTTTAATTTTGACACTTGAATAAGTCTGTAAAGGCAACATGTCCATGCACACAACACAAAAATTGTGTTTTGTTTTGCACTAGCCATGAGTGCAAGGTTTGGCGCGATTCATGTCTGAATATTTTTGAAAAGTCCGAGGTACGAAGGCTGTCCAAAGAAAATCCCTCTTCCAACAAGCAACCGTGAAGAGAGTATTTTTATGTAAATGATCACTTGGTCACTAAACCAAAGCAAAATACATCCAACTGCTAATATGGGATCAACATGATAGCCAAGAAATGTTGTAGTGGTGCATTTTCCCAGCATTCCTTTTCCTGGCACTTACCTCAAGCGATGAAAAATAGGCACAACACCAAAATCTGAATGGCGTGCAACTGGAGTTGTGGTTACGATGCGTGTCACGGAGCTGTGATTGCTCGGTTCTGTTGACATGAGAGCCAAAACGAAAATCACGATGCTTTGCATACAAGCACTCACATGCCAGGCCTCAGACAGCTCCATTAACCTCAGACAGCAGCACGAATGAGATTCTATTATAGGTCGAATTTGCATCTGTGGCATGGCTAGATGATAATTAAAAACATTAGCTAATTAACAATTACTGAGGGGGTGTAAAGGTTGCATGTTTCCTGTGGTGTGCTGGTAGCCAACCTCTCAAATGAGAGATAAGACAGTTTACTGTTCTGATTCATCCTAATGTGGCATTAAAAATCTATGTTTTGGTTTTTATTTAAAATGTTTAAGAGAGGTTTATGAATAGTTTATATTCACGATGCTCTGCTAAGTATATCATAGATCATGTATGCTGGTATGTGGTTATGTGCACACTTTATGCAGACAGAGGCTGGAAAGCAACTATTTATTTCTCAGCTTAAGTTATGACTTCCCAACATTGACCTTTCTCCTCTATGCTCATGCCAATAAGAGGCACACTCCCCATAATGCACGACGATAGATTTTACTTTGACACATCAGTGCCTTCTTACTTCTTAAAGTCTCCGTGTGTTTTGGAGAAGGGTGCAGTATTTCAATGAAAAACTGCTAATGAGAGCAGGTGCAGGTTTGGATTCCCGTGACGTGGACGGTGGGTCCTGTTGTGTTGGCTCCGCAGTTTTTAATGAAGTGTTTTCCTTCTACTAACTTCTGTTAGGGTGTTTGCTTGAGTGGAGACTCATTAATTAGTAATTCATAAAGCTGTTGATGAATTATTCATAGGAAGAGAGTCAAAGTGAAAGTCTCCATTCCGACTCTTTTCAATCAGAGAGCAGGTCCCAGTAGATAAACAGGATGGGAGGAAACCACCCTCCGCCCCGCACGGCTCGTTGGAGGTGCCACAGACTTCCCACCGAGAGGAGAACTGGGATGCATTCACTTTGTCCGTCGGTGGAGCGGCTCTCAGAGCTGTCCTGGTGTTTTCAACCTTTTATCCTTCTGAGAGGAGCAGTGGAGGGTGTGTGTAATGGCCCCGCTCTGCTGCCGGCCTCTGAGAGCTTACCCGGCCAATGGACATGATCGAGCGGACCCAGAGAAATCAGCGGCAGCTGCTATCCCTGCCATATTTCTCAGTAGGATATCCGGTTGCCTGCTGAGGCTTGGAGGTTTTATAACCAGGGTGAATAACTCTCAAAGCCATATTTCAAAAGCAGGCTGTATAAACTAAAGAGCAGCTCCGACATGGCAAACTGACCAGCTGCTGCAAACTCATGCTCGAAAGAAGCCACAAAAGTGGGGCCTGCCGATTTGTAGTTCATTTGTGGTACTGTGAATCTCCCAGTTACAAGACAATTCAATCACCACCCGCAGTAATAGGGTTAAAACTGTATGTTTTTGTATGGTTTTCTTCTCTCTGTCTGATCCTCAAGAGGTTTGAAAATCAAACAATTAAACTGACTTTGTCATTTTTTCCCTCATGTATGAATT